ACGATCTTAGTTTCGTCTTTCCACGGTTTATTTTACTTATTTATTTTCGTTTTCAGTCTTTCGCTTTCATCTGTCGACGGGTGAAAGGGGTTAAGAGCGAGGAGTTTGGCGACCAGATGTCTGCCACGCATTTGTTGTCATTTATCAAAAACGTCAGAGGAACGTTCGAGGAAAAAGGGGGAAACAGGTGTTCCTTGGCGACTTCAAAGTCAAGACCTTTGCTCATGGCCATGGCGTCTACTTTTTAATCACACTTTTTATAATGATTTTTTAAGTTATGGCATGAACTTTTTCCCTTAAAGTGGTTTTAATCGAGTTTGGCAATTATAAAAGCATTTCTTTTGGGAAGCTTTTAATTGTGCGGATTGCGGTTGTAATCTCTTTTTTTATTTTTAACAGGATTTTTCTTTAATGGCATTTATTTAGACATAATAAATTCTTACATAAATTCCGACACTTTTGTATTAATAATCCTTTGCTAATCCAAAATTCTTGTTTAACTGCTTTACACTTTTGTCCCTTTCTGTAAAAGCTTTTAATTTACATCAAGCGATTATGACACCCTTTTTGGGGTTTGTGGTTGAAATCCCTTTTGCGCCTTTTGGATTCTGCTTTTTCGGTCATTCTATCCCCAAGTTGATTCAATTTGCAGTTGACATTTCATTTCATTTGCTGTGTCAGATATTGACCGTTGTCAAGTTAAGGCTTAAAACACGAGTTCCGCTTGCCTGTGGTTTGGATTTTTTTCTAAAGAAAGCCCTGCCATCTACGGACATTGCCTTTTGCGTCTATATGGTTACATTTTGCTCTCTCTCTATCTGTCTAAAACTCTTTTGCACAGAGAAAAATAGATATCAGTTCCTGATGATTATTTGTATTTAAACTTATAACAGTATGGAACAGTGTAAATCATTCCTGATTTGACTTTTTCCCAGTGCACTTTTGCTCATCTCTCCTGTACAATTAAAAATTCTTTATGCACTTGCCTCGATTCGCACTCGCACTCTGGTGGAGATTGACTTGTCCCACCAACATCGTAGGCATGAGAAAATGTGTGCATCTCCGGGCATTTCATTTCTCGTCTGTCAGGTGGGTCAGTACTATATACGGCATATGGTAAATGGAGAAAAGGGGGCGGGGTCGGTCACGCAAGGCGGCAGTTAGAGGAAACCCTATTAATGTCAAGTTCATTGCCACAATCCATCACTTGGTGAGAAAGGGAGGAGAGCAGTGGATGGATATGGATGTGGATGTGGATGCACATTGCCGAGAGACGATTTATTATTATGGTCAATATTGTGCAAGCTGCAACATTTCATTAACTTGCCCCGGCTCCAATGGAAACTTGTTTACAGAGTTCCGTCTTTGTTGGCGGATTTGTCCAAGTTGGCCAGACTTGATATTGAATTGAATATTCGGGTTATCTGCTGATAAGAGCACGTGATTTTCGCCCCACCAATCAATAATTGTCGGCCAATAAAAAAGTATTTTGTATATATAATAATTTGTATCTTATCTGGGTGCCACGAGGCAAGTCAAATTCAATTTGACAGCCTCGAATGTGCAATTAAAATTGACATGCAACATGCACTCTTGTATATTTTTGCTTCACTCTTCGCAACTCACTTTTCAGACCTTGGAAAAGCAATTTTCCGCTGCGACAATAAATTATGAGCTAGTCGAGAGGAGGAGAAATGGAAAAACTAGGTGAGGGGGGAAAACAGGACTTGTGAAAGTTGTTAGAGGCCCTGTTTTATCACCGCCACTTTGCATGTTCATCTACTTTATGTATGGGTAACGCCCTGAAATGGTTTACCTTTTCTGTAGCTATTTTTATGGCAACATTTCTTACGGGATTTTCAATTACTTTAATGGCATTCGTACCGATTCCAATTGTAATTGCCAACTCTTTCCTTATTGCGATTATCTACCTGGCCGTAATTATTATCCCATGACGGGGGGAATCTGGTGGGGGATTTGGCAATTAAATCGCCGGCCCCGCCTCCATTTAATGTAACACTTACATGCTCCACTGCGCGGGTAATTTTCAACATTTTTGCTCCATTTATTTCGCATGCCAAACTTATTGCTATTATCATTTTTTCGCACTGCCATATAAGTATGTCTTGAAAACGTTATTGCAGCTGCTAAAAGCGGCTCATTGCGGGCTTAACTGTGAATTAGAAATACTTCTCCTGATTACCGTCAAGCTGCGATGATGGGGCATGCAATCTGATAATTCGGTTGATTATGAGGCGGAAAATATGAAGAATGTCTGGGAGAATTGGAAATTGAGAAGCACTTAAGAGATAAGTTATGGAACTTTTTTTGCTGTTGATAGTTGTTAGAAAAGAATGTAGAACTTAAGCTAGAGAATAGTTGTCAGAACTTTAAAATGCTTTTTAGTAAGGAATTATTTAAGAGTAGGGAGTTAGTCATTTTGAGATTGTCATTATTGCTTTACTTTATTTATGTCTAAAAAAACTTTATAATTAAAATAAAATAGGCACTTAAAAAGTCTATTAGTTAGCAGTGAAATACTGCCAAAAATGTAGTTAGATCCTGTAGCTTCAGAGTATTACCTCTTGTTCTCCTCCTGTCGATATGTAATGGCTTTTCTGCATGACTTTTACAGACTCTCTTTTTCCGCCCACTCTACTTAAAATCCAAATGTATTTTTTTAAACGACCTTTCAACAGACATCAAAAAACCACCCACCTGTCTTACTTCACTCACCATTTAACTCTTCGAAAACAAGAAAAAGAACGCTTCCAGCATTTTCCCACTGCCAGTCGCTTTTTATTGGTCTATTCGCAGTTCGGTGGACCAGACATCCCACCTAAACCTTGGCTCTTAATAAGGCAAGACAGCATCTGGGAATCGCAGACAGAACTTTTCTGGTCTGAAACCAATTTCTGGCATTACATGGCCTCTACGGCAAAGTCAAGCTGCTCATCGGTGTTTCAGTTTCCTCGAGCTAAGTTTTAGTTTTAGTTTGGGCAGCTGCTTCTGCTTTTGCACCGTAAAAGGTCATGAAAAAGTTGTTTACTTCTTCCTCTATAGCCAGCTTATGAGGCCATAAAAAGCCAATATAATGGGGAGTTCGAGGGAGGAAAAAGCCAACACCTAACCGGGTCCATAATAAAACTAAAAACATGACATGGAGGCAACTTCAATGTAATGTAATTTACACGAGAAACTTTAAACGAACAAAACAGCAAACGCTTTTGTTAATTTTGTTTAAAGCATGTATTGTAAAAGTTACTGTGGAAATCTTGATCAAATCATTTCTAGCGGCCTTGATACGAAGAGCTCTCCAAAAAAACCGAGGCAAAACAACCTCTTAACGCATTTTTTTGATTGAAAGTTATGACATCTAATAATTATAATCAGAGCCATGAGTTGTTTTCGCTGTTGCTGACATGATTTATACGCATCTCGAAACCAAACTTGATAATCACATATGGCCCGAGCCGACATCAAACCGTTATGAGCCGACGCAACCGCAAGATCTCTTTTCCTCATCCAATCTCGAAGCCAATAAACCCGGCCAGCTAATGATATGGCTTTTTGGCCGAGGAGAAATCTGATTGATTGTAATTAAAGACCCCGCAAGATGGCAGATTCTAATGACAATTTATTGGCACTTTCAGCAATTTCTGAAATTGCATACTGTGGATGTTGGCAATGGGTAGAAAAAGGAGGTAACTTGGTCAGAACGACCTTGTTCTGTGTTCTACAATACAGTTTAGATCATGAGAAGAAGAAATGTCAGCAGAAAAGGCCTTGAAATTATTCATAATTGTAATTTAATACAGATAATAACAATCATAAATTAAATGGGGCTGTCAATTTGTGGAATTTTAGTGTTGTATTCTGCCCCATGACTTTCACTTTCGATTAACCACTCGTTTACTATCTATATCTATTACCCAATTGAGCTTTTCAGGCCACTATCTATTAACTCCCACAACTTCATGACCTGCCCCAAGCCAACTCACTTAAAGTGAATCCGAATTCAAATTAATTTCTTCATTTTGCTAACCATTTGATTACACCCACCACGATTTTCTCACGCACTGTAGACGAGTGAAATTGTTGAACAACAATAAATTAGACAATTACAATGCGCTGAGTGATTTCCAGTTTCAGCTGTAGGCGTCGCAGAAGGCAGACGAAATTTATGAGTTTACCTTGGGAACAAAGGCCCGAAAATAGACAAATCGGGGAGTTTGTAGGGGGCAAATTAAGGCGACACTTTGATTATACCCCCAAAAGCTAATAACATTGTTATTGTTGACTGATGTCTGACGATTCCAGCTACTGGAAACGCTGTCTGTTTATCAATTGGCCGAACTTTCTCTCCGGTTTTTTGGTTTCAGTCGATTGGGCCCGACTTAAACTCTTCTTTTTTTTGCCCCTCTCGAGTTGCTGCAGCTCCAAATGAAACTAATTGCTTCCGTTTGCAACATTTCACCTTCAATTTTCCGGCGAGAAACCCTAAGGCAAACCCCTCGAAAAGAGAGCCCAAACTAATTTCGTATGCCTCGGAGGGCCACCTTAAAAATGTGGCAATTCTATTTGGTTTCGTTGAATGGCTTTCGGCTGTTTTTTTGGTTCATTGAACTTGCAATTACACAGAGAAAAATGCGAACGATTTATGTAACGAGAAGAAAATATAAAAAAGATTAAATCAGGCCCCTACAAAAATTTGTTTTTGATATAGTTTATTTAATAGGGATAGTAATTTACTTACTTTACTTAATTCCTTAGATTTCAATAAAATAAATAATATCTAGGTACCTAAGTTAAATACCTTTAAAATTCCTAAGTCTAAAGTCTTGTATATACAAATTTTTATTTGCAATCTTTAATTTGTAAAGTTAATTACCTCTAATAGTAATTGTTTTCCGTGTACCATTTAAGTTTAAATTTCTGTTAACTGCATTTTCGCTCTCCTAACTTTTGTTTGTGTTTGTTTCTTGGATTGTTTTTTGCAGAAATTTGCATTTTCATCTTGCGCAAAAGGCAAACACACAAAAAATGCTGACACCGATGAGGCCAGCGGTGGGTTGATTGGCTGACAACCACGACGTCCACATCCACAAACAAGAAAAAACGACCAGACACGCTCCAGTGCCATCGAGTGGGAGGAGCGGCGGAGAGGAAGGAGCAGCATCACCTGGCTCGACTTGAATACGAAAAAAGCTGAAGAAAAAACTAAAAAACACACTACAAACACCCCGACACAATGACAAATGTTTGGAGCGGAGCCAGGCTTTAGGTGTTGAGCAGGTTTAATCAAACAACAAAGGAAAAGCCGAGGAAGCCAACGAGGAGGAAGGACACCGCGCAGCACCTGAATTGGACAAGAGAAAGGTGAGTCCAGTTTGACTATCATAGGGCAATAAATCCAAGAGCTGAGCGGGTTTAATTCGAGATAACCTGAACTGTGGAATGCCAATAAATTTCAATTACACTTTTAAATTTCAAATACTTAACTGCTTGGAAACTTTAGCGGAAATATATTATGCCAGCCATTTAATTATCCTTTTAAGTGCTTAACTTAAAACGGACTCTTAAAATATATATTACAACACACATTATCTGGTCAATCCACTTCCAAAACTTTTATATTTAAGTATGAATATTTATATTCATAAATGTTTGAATTAGAAAATGTAGTAAAAGGGAAGTTTTTTAATGAAATGTTTTTTTTCCTGTTTGTCCTCGAAGGTGTATTTAATGCATGCCCAACTTATAGCTGATAAAGCATAATCCTTTCTGCCTAGTCATATGTTTGGCCATTGGAACATTTGTTCTATACGCCTAGGCAAGACCTCTCCCAAAGCAGCCACAAATGTTTTTTTAGCAGCCAATCTCCCAAATAGGCCATAAAAAACTCGCTCACACATACACACGTGGCGAATCCTTAGCCAAGTTTGTGGATCCCTGGGCTCCTTTATTATGCGCACATGAGTCTCATTCGGGGAAAACGCGAGGACATCGGCGCCAGGGTTTGCGGTCTAGTTTATTTGACTTCACTCGAGGGGAGTAGCCAGAGTTTTTAAAAAATATGAAATATATATAAGAGAAATTAAAGACAAAGAATTGTACAATCCTTAGAAATCGTATAAAGATAGGAAGAACAAATTCAAATTTTATGAATGGAACAGATTTTAAAATTTTGCTCTGTGCAAAATGGGAAATCGAGTTGGTTGCCACCTGGCGTAGGAAATATGCAAATACGGCACCAGCATCCTCGGAGTTTAAAAATAGTTGCCCGCCATGCCGGCGACACTCCAGTTCCAGGCCACTGACTCACTCGCAGTCATTTGTCAGGCTTATAAAAGTCAATCGCTTCGATTATGCAAATGGATCCCGAGCGATGTGTGAGGCTCTAAACACTTTGATGCGATGAGGACGTATCTCAATTGGTTCTGGTCTGGGATCTTTTGAGTGTGCTGCTGCGGTTGCAGTTGCTGCTGCGGTTATTCAATTCAGCAGGGCGCATCCTTTGAAGACCCGTTCGATGGGGTCTGCATCACTTTTTTCCCGTACGTAGGCCCAATCCAGTTCGGATTCGGAGTCGGACACGGAATTTCAGAGTGGCAGAGTGGGATCGAGTGGAAACCCACTCTTGGGGGCCAGCGCGTGCAGACTTTGCCAACTTGTTTTCCCACCGCTTAATTGGCATAATTTGTCTAACAAGACCAACGAACCACAGACACACAACATCGAGAACAACGACAACTCGTTTCGTATTCATCGCCGCTGCTGCGGTAACCACCGTATCAAAACATCTTGAATTGTTGTGTTCTCGTTTAATAAGTGAATGTTGTTGGCTGTGTTTTGTGTTCCTTGCTTAGTGTTGTTACTAGCCAGGCCTACGCGGAAAATTGTCTCTTGGTCTACAAGTCTGTAAGTGTGTGAGTCTGTTTGCCAGACAGTTGTCACGACCGGCGAAGGTTGGGCTTGAAATCGCAATGAAAAGAAATATAACTTGTAAAATATAGACAAGATAGAGAATAATACTAAGAACTACTGCGACTCTGTATGGAGTGGCGTCCAAGGTTGGGCTTTAAATTAATGAAGTATGTATGAAATGTTGTCAAGGGAGTTCTGAAAAAACATGAATGAATGAATCTTTTTTCCCATTGCAAAACACATGTCAAAGGAAGTTGTCTTTTGGATAACACAACATTTTGTGGCTCTTTGATTTTTTAATAAAGAAACTAAGACATCAAATATACCTCTTTCAGTATAACTATTTTTTTAAAAAAAACATAAAGACAGCATATCCTTCTATTGTTATTATTACAATGTTTCAACTTTAAACCACCCGTGTTAAAAAGGGGTTGCCTTCAAATTAACCCCGATTTCATTGTTCACTGCATCTGCGTTGGTTCCCAAGTTCATCATCATTACTGTTGTTCCGATTCCTATATCCATATCATATTAAGAAATCATTTTCCTGGCGCCAAGTTTTTATTTCATGGGAATTGGTGGGCCTCCCTGTGGGGGACCTTATGGCATGGTGTGGTGTAGTATAGTACTTTCCGCAGATCCGGGCGCGTAGGTAGGTGGCTTCACTAATTGCAACCAATCTTTTGTGCCCGCCACTCCACTCCACTCCTCCCCTTCCACTCCTCTTTTCCCCCCGGTGTGCCATTGCCATTTACAATGGGGCCATCATTTCATTGTTGACATTGTTTTCTTGTTCACGCTCAAGAGACTGAATGTTGACGCAATTATAACACATGGCGTCGTCGTTGGCTACCTGCTGCTCACCTGGCCTCCTGTTTGAGCCCCCCTCTCCCTTCTCCCCGCCCCCCATTCTCATCTCTCACCTGGATCACGTGTTTGAGCTAACGAGTGCAATTTAACATTTTGCCCAGTGCAATTAACATTTATGCAAAAATTAGAGAGACACAGGCGGGGGTAAACTAGTTTTTTGTCATTTGCAAGGCGCAAATTATGATCGTTATCATTATGATCGGGGGCATTTAGCGCTGATTATAGTTTTTAATGGGGTGTCTTAATCCATATTTATGCTAATGATAATGGTGACAGTTATGCTAAAAAACGAGGAGCGTTAGGGTGGATTCTGTGTGCTGTGATAATGGAAATTGCATGGAAACTGTTATGGATATTACAAATTGGGTAGATTTCAGAATTCAAAAATATAATTTTAATTTATAGTGATAGTGATTAATAGTTTGGAAAGATTGTGCTAGCAATGATTGGTACAATAATTTAAATACCAATAAATATTAAATAAACATGAACCTATGATACGTATTAAATTAAAAAATAATAAATAACTTGAACCAATTAAATCAAGTTACAGAGAACTAATACCCGATTTTATCATTTGATATTTCGATACAAAACTTACAACAAATTCGATTACATAAACATAATTCCATAATAAATAATATATTTATTGTATGTGCTGAATCTCATTTTGCATACATCCTTGAAAGCACTCAATGGGGGATCTTGCCATGAACTTTTTGATTAAATTCTGAAGCCAAAGATAAATAAATAAATAGATAAATAGTTGGCTGCCAAGCAGGCAACCAATAGCTGCATGGATTGTGCACTTGAGCAGCTCTGTGGTCGTGTCCATGTCGATGTCCTTTCACGTCCTTGCTCTCAGTCCATTTTCTGCGGCATTAATTTGTAATGGGGGTTGGACGGATGGACGAGAGCTGTCATTAAATCAATATCAGCTCGGCAGCCAAATAAATCGGTGAGCTCTTTAAACATTTACCAGCGGTAATATGCACCGAATGCATGTCTGATTTTCCCTTGGGAAGGAGCTACGCGGCGGATACGTAATATTTTAAGTGAAGCTTATACGGTTTTACTCATCCGCCATGTGGTACCCGTACTTTTCAATAATAACAGCAACTAGATCACAGGCTAAATTTATCCCGCTTTAATCTTTATCTCCAAACGCCTATCTAATTCACGGTCACATGCATTGTGCATTTCGATTAGATTAGATAAGTTTTCCCATCCGTCGCCATTGTCTCGTGTTTGGGCTCTGACTTTTGTCTCGCATCTATTTACAAGACAAGACCCCCGGAGATGATAGTACAGCCGACTGTTCAGATCCGACCTTTGTCTCGATTTGCCCACCTCCTAATTGTGTGGACATGGGTGTGAGTTCTCTATCTGGCCATTTGTTTACCTCCTCGTTTGTGTTTGTTCTTTTCTAGTTAGGCTCTTATTATTATTGACTTTGCGATAAGTTTTGACTGTCTGCCTAGTTTTAGATAGTCTGTGTGGCACAAACTGCGCTTTTTCGCCTCCCACTATGACACATGGAAAATATGTATTATATACCCAGTTAAAGAGGTTATGATTATAAAGAAGGTTGTTTTGGTTTGGTGTGTAATGAGGGTGGGTTATTTTCGTCTGGGTGGGGTAATGTTTATGGAATGGGATTATCTTACAGGCTTAGGAAATAGATGAGATTAGCAGTTTTAAAATTCTAAGAAAATTGTATATTACAGCTACTTCTGTTGTAACTTTTTATACCCTGCTATCTAATAAAAAGTCACTAATTAATTTATGTGCCAATTTGGTATATGATTCTTGAATTTTTCCCTGCATTATCTATATAAAATTGAATAATTCCGAAAACGGAATATTTTTTATAGCCGGTAGGGCGATGTGTGGAACCAACCTAGCCCAACTCGTAAATCAATACCTCCCGAGAGCCGATAACGGTAACCATTACCCTATCAGCTATATAGCTTTCAATGTCGCACCGACATTCCCAACTCACGGCTCTCCGGGTCTCTCGGTGCCTCTCGTCGTCTTTATTCTCCGATTCTCGGGGCGAAGAAAGGCCTTTTGGTCGCCTACCATATGGCAATGCCTTCTCTTTCTCACCAAATAAATGTGTTCACTTTTTCGAAGACTTTCACACATCCAACAACACACCGGAGAAGGGAGAGAAGGGTCCGAATATTTTGAGGGGGCCCATCAATGGAGCCTTAATTGTGTTTTTGATGTGAAGAAAATAACAAACAAACGCATAACAAAGGAAAATCATAAAAATCAGCAGAAAGTAAAGGTGAAAATCGTTGCGAAAGTCAGTCAAATCGATGAGCAAGAAAATGGCAAAGGTAACACTGCAATAAACGTAAAAGTTCCCCATCGATTTTATCAGTTTGGTCATTAGGGTGCGGTTAGTGGAATATTTTATCGTAGATAACCGATATTTTAATATATACGACTTCCGATTATAAAGGAAAAACAACACAATTCGCACAAAGTATTGTATAAAGTTAATGAGATAGTTTGTCTAAATTGTTTCGTTATTTATGTTGCTGATACTTTAAGCTGAGGGAACTAAGTGTATTTTTTTTTTCGATATGAAATACACCGTTTCAGTGGGTAATATAAAAAAAGCACAATGCTTATTATTATTTTAAAATATCAGACACTTTAATATAATAACTCTTAAAAACATCGTTGATTTCAAATATATAATACATTTTTCATGACAGGGAATACAATTTGGAATTAGTTTTTTTAGAGGGATAAAATTAAATTTCCATTGGGCAATGGTTTTCCGGAGTAAACTTTCTAATGGAATTTAGTTTAATAATAAAACAATTTAGAAAGCAAATCAATAAAATTTATTTCTTTAGCTACAAATAAAACCATTTAAATTCGATTTATTTATATTTACCTATATATAACTAAAATAAACTGAACATGCTCTAATGTATTTTACTTCTATTTCATTTTCAGTTCCACAATGGAGAAACCGATGCACCATGCCCCTGCTCCGGCTGCCGTGGGTAAGGTCAGCCAGATTGCCAACATCTTCCAGCGCAAACCCATTGAGATCCAGCCGGTGGAGCAGCTGAGTGCTGTGGCCGCCGCCCACGCCGCTGCCGCTGCCGCCGCGGCCGCTGCCCACCACGCCCACGTCCAAGGAGCTCCTGCAGGACGGACGGAATCCCACTCGGCCAGATTTAATAACGCCCGGGCTCTGTTCGAGAAGTTGGGCGTGGAGTCCAACTCGAACGTGAGTTCCCGACTGTTGAGAAGTGGTTCCCGCGAGGACAACCTGTGCGACGGTTCGGATCGGTCGTCATCACGCTCCTCGGATCGCTCACAATCGCCGCCCAAGCGGAGGACTCCCTTTCCCTCCGGAGTTTCACTCGTTCACAATAATAACAATGCCGCCACAGTGGCTCAGAATGGAGTTATTCCGCCCGAACAGCGCTTGAGTAATAGTAAATTTATTGTGGAACCATCTGCGCCAGTTGTTCCAACTTCTGTGGTCAAGTATCCCCAGCACAATATATCCCGCTTGAAATCGGAGGAAGTGTCACCCATTCCACCACCAGCCAGTGGATCAGTGAGTGCTCTATTTGCCAGTTCAGGTGGCGATAAGCCGGAGAAACCGGAACGCAAGTTCAACTCGCGGGAGCTGATCGAGAAGCAGAAGAAGTGGACATCCCATTTTACCAAGACCAAAACCACCAGGACGCACAGTGATCTGAATCGTTGCGATATCATACGTACAGTACCCGGAACTGGGCTGATTATGGATAGTGAGAAGGTGGCCAAACCGGCGATGGAACCGCCACAACCTCCACCAAATGCCAGTCCCAATCCGCCGATGAGAATGCAGGCTCCGCCGGAGATTAAGCCAAGGAGCGGGAAGATTGGCAGTCCAGTCAAATCGCCGCCATTGCCGCCCATTCCGGCGGTCAAGCCAAAGAATGTGAGTCCGGTGAAGTTCAATCCGGACAGGCTGCGCCAATCGCCCACTAAGACAGCGGATAATTCCCCACCTCCGCCACCTGCCAAATCGGCAGCTGTGCTCCAGAGATCCTTGATGCAGGAGCAACAGCAGGAGCTGCTGAGGAATGCCGGCGATCAGGGAGTAGCACCCATTCCGCCGGAGAAGCCACGCAAAAAGTCGGTAGATCTCATCGAGGATACTCAGCCCTTGACCAACTGCTCCACGCCCTCATCCTGCGCCTCGCCCACCAGCTCGTACATTATGCAGCCGGCCAAGAGAGGATCTCTGGATGGAGGAGGCGGAAATGGACAGTATCCTGGCAACGGGCTCAGCGGCAGCACCAATTCCGCAACCTCGGGCTCGCCGGTGGCCAGTGCCTCCTCAGGACCTTCGTCTCCAGTTCACACAGAGGATGAGAAGCAGGAGAACGAGTCCACGGAGAAGTCGGAGATGGAGTACTATCACAGCAGCAACTACAACAGTGTTCCCAGAAGGCGACGCAGCGAAAATGAAGGTGAGTTTTTGAAGAGGTTTTAAAACCTAGTTCATATTTTAAATAAGGGAATAGGTTATCTTAAAATGTATGTATTAATCTGCAAAAGGTAGAATGATATATATCAGCTGTTTTTATTTATATTCAAATAATACATTCTTAGGGGAAGTACTAAAAAAAACCAAACGGAAACTTCACTGATAAAGCTGTCAAGGTGACAAACTGCCAAATTTTAATAATTCATCATTTAGCTGATAATACTTAGATAATATATGTACATTTTTATGGCTTGGTAAAAATAGGCCTTCTTATTATTAAACTGCTTTCGGAACAGCTAAACAAAATTAATCCAGAGTGGGTCTAATTTCCAAGTTGCTCCACTTTGATGTGGGATTTACCTTCCTTTCTAGACATAATTGATAGCCTTTGGAATCAGGAACCAGAAGCAACTCGTCTCAGGGCATTCTCGAACTTCCTCCATTTGGAAGTTTTGAACTTTGCTGGCTCAAGAGTTCAAACACCTTCCAGACATGCTTCTATTTTCGTTGTGTGTGTGCGCTTGTGCCGAGCTGCCAGGTCGACTTTATTGTACAGTGGCCTCCTGTTGTCCTCCACTGGCCCCCAGGTCCCCTGCACCTCATCCACTACGCTCCCAGCCCATCCAGCCCATCCAGCTCATCCCCAGCCATTCCATTTCATTGCATCCCACATTCATTACAAGTTTTTCTAAGCGGTGTACAAATCGTGACTTGTGCACCGCCCCAACTCCTCCGCCCTTCCACCAACGAAAACCCTTTCCTTTCCTCTTGAAAATCCACTCTGTTGCTGTTTGTACACTGGGAGAAAATTTACCAAAAATTTATAAATTTAAACAAGGCTTAGAATCCCAGCTATCTCGATTTTTGCACTTACGTTATAAATCCATTAACCCATAATAACAATAAGAAATGGATGTTATTGATTTATTATTTTGTTCGTTATAAACAATTTAAAACATTTTATTTCAAAGAATACATTTATGTGACATAGAGGTGAAAATTTAACTTAAAATTATGTTGAGGAATGTTTTTAGCAAAATGTACACGTTTTTTAATGTGTAGAAATAGTTTAAACAAATTTTTTTAAATTCTTTAATAGATGCTCTACATAAAGTAAATGTTATATTAAGTTTATTTAAAAAATGTATGAAAATTGTTTTTTTTATATTGTTTTTTTTTATTAAGTCTTTAAAATGCTATAATTTTATTTTCTGTGTGTGCTCTGGAGGCAAATTCCAATATGGGTCAAACACAGCAGGCATATCAAATGCAGCCCCCAACGACAACGGCTCGACAACATTCCAAGCGCTGCTCCCCTCCTCCTCCCCCCCATCCCTGCTGCACTTCATCCTCCTCCTCGAGTGCAATGCTCACAATCTGTCGTCGCCCATCTTCATGGTCCGAGGCTCGACGGCGTTTTGCGGATTTTGTTGGGATTCCCGATTCCCGGCTCTCTTCTAGCGACTTCACCACACATAAAATTGTATTAATGCCAGATTAAGAATTCAATGATGCGTGGCACTTCTGCCTCCATTCGCGAGTCGCCTTCACTCCGGTCTTGTGGCTGCTTTCCTTGCCGATCTCATCCAGCTGCTGATTACAAAATTGGAATTTGCACGCCGCACTTCCGCCAGCAGCCTCAGTTCTCAGTTCTCAATCTCGGTTGGAGTCTCAGGCGGCGTCCCATAGATACCATACTTCGATGCCCTGTCGAAGGGTATTATGATTTCCAATTCAGATTGCAGGATGGTAGGGGAAATGTCTTTAGACCTATGGACATCCTTAAACCTCCTGCCTTTTAAATAAAAATTATAAAATATCTTAAATAGGAAAGTCCCTTCTCAACATTTTATCAATATTGTTGTGTGTTAAAGAATTTAATATAGTTATTTCTATTATCATTTCTTTGGTTTATATTTTAGTTTTTCAAAGTATAACGAAAACAAAAACATTAAATTTTATAATGCATAAAGATAACTAGACATGTCGGTTTTGTAATTGTTCTTCTGTGTGTGGTGGACATAAAAATAGATAAATTTATTGTTGAGGATAATTAAATCACTCCTGGCAGCTTGCCCAATATATAGCTGGCAAATTTAAATATCACGTTTGCTAATACAGCTAATTACCTGCAACTTGCCACTTGAAAATGTAAAATATGGCAAGCAGATTTAAAATAATGATAGTCTACGTTTTTTTGCTGTGTATAGGGTATATCATAATTCGAATTGTCGAAGTCCGCATTCCTTTCTTGTTGTTTCTAGTGTCTGCTCGACTCCTCGAGTTGTAGCTTCTGCCGATGATTGCTTATCTGGCGATGCGAACTGGGGTCTGGAACTCTTTTTAATTCATAAATGGTAGTGTTGTGTCCATTAAGGGGGCGTGGCTTACCTTGATTTATTGATTTCAATGCTCTCGATGGGGCGGCGATGGGGAAGTGGAGGGCGAAATGGAATTAAGTGGATTGGATTATGTGCTCAAGTTGGGGTAGGTTCTGTCTGCAATTGCGTTAAAAGAAGTCCTAGTGAAAGAGTGTCTGAACATTTTTGCCTATTTCCCCATGTTTCTCTATTTATGTGCCTTTTTTCTAGCCCCAACACAATTTTTTACCGCATTTTCTTGTTGAATCGCTGACACAGCACCCGTCATATGCTTAGCGCCATTTACATGGTAATGTACATGTGCAGACCCTCACGGGTCCACTTCCGTTTATAAACATTATTTGTGAAGTACAGTGATTGCTCAATATTATAGGTTATTTTTCTTTTTTTACATATCAAATAAAATTTTATTTTACTAAAATAACTTTTATAGGTACTTGTATAGAAATTTCGAATACAATTTTATAATTGTGCCTGGTGTTAAAAAGGCCTGAATTTATTAAAGATTTTAAAGTTATAGTTTAGAAGGGGATCATGTACTTACATATGGCTATATACCACAATAGACTGTCAGACTCGGGACATAACGAGAACAAATGAATGGGGCATGGACTCATTGGGGGTAAAAGGCGGGTTGGGATGGGAAACGAAATAAAGAGAAGAAATAGCAACATAAAGTCGAAAAGAAGGCCTAGGCTTCGGTGCTGCATGGCCCATTTTGAATGGCTTGTGCCCGCCTGTCACATTCAAGAGTTTATAAATAACACGGAAAATACTACTCAAAAACTACTACGACGGCAACAAATGGATGGGAGGTTTCAGGTGGGGGAGAGTCCCAAACTATGCACATAAAGAAAACCTTGCAAGAGGAAATTAAGATGTCAAGTAACCTGACGTGCAGTTTATCATTACTAAATAATTCCGTCAAAAGTTTAGGCTAGAAAAACGACATGCAAAAATATACTTGTCTGTATACCTGTAAAGGTAATTTAAATATTTTTTGGTTGAATGTTTTCTACAAATATAAATATTATATATAGTAATAGTTAATTGTCTGTAGGGAAAAAAGATTTGATAGCATATTTTTTCATTGTTCGTTTTATCTTTAAGTGCACATTGTGTATATGTGCTTGTCTGTAAATTATGCCTGCCAAAAGTTGCTTGTGCTCCACTTTATTTCAGCACAATGAAACAAGATGGACACAAATATTTTATCTTTATATATCGTTAATCCCAAACGGATGGTATTATTTATCACAAATTAAAAGCCGCTCAAATATTGACAATATGTTATGAATAGAATGAAAAACAGGGGGGTTTATAAAGGGGGCTGCATTTGTGTCTGTGTGCCGCCTACGCAAACAAAACAAGAACAACGTAGACACAACGCACACAAACACTGACACACAAAAGTATACACACAAAGAGCCGGCATGAAAAGCAGAAATACCGACAAAAACAAAAAAAAATTGCAATCCGTCTCTCTTAAAAGTTTATCTCTCTTTCCATATAAGAAGTCAAATATTAAATTTGTTAAAATATTTTAAATATTAGTTTGTCTTGTTTAAAAAATTGTTGTGGTGAAGAAATTAGCTCTTCGTTCCTTTTTTTGAGAAGACACTGCAATTTTGAACAGTGTATTTTTCCCACGGTTTCTCATTGGTTTGTGTCTTTGCTTCTTTTGAGGTTATTTTACGGAGCCCTGGTTGCAAGCCAAATGGTTTGAGCCACAGCTACTCTCTTAAATTTGCTCTCTTTTGAATTTTCTCTTTGCAAAAAAGCTTTTACTTTTAGTTTGTTCACAAACCATATCTGTGTGCTGTTTTGCTGACCGTGAGTTTCAAAATATAATTAGAATAAAAACAATTTTTGTAGTTAAATACATATTATTTATTGAATAACATTTAAGGTAAAACTAAAATGAGCAACTCAGTTTCTTTTTGTCTGCAATTTATAAATTCTTGCTTTCAATTACAAGAGCTAGCAACGTAAGTTCTAGAGTTCAATGATCCTAAGTACGATTTAATGAAAGGCGCGTGGGTTTTTGACAGCCACTTGCCGACGTTTTTCCTCACTTTTCCTCTTGTTTGTTTGCCTCGTCTGACCACCCAACATCTTAGCATTTTTGTCTTTTTATTTTGTAGTTTTTTCTTAGTTTTCCTTTCATTTCTTTTCACACCAAACTGATGACGTCCATTGCGAAAATGCGCTGAAATATGTTCGCATCAAAAAAAATCATCAAGGCGACATTTCGCCAGAGAGGAAATTCTTTGGAAATAGCCACAATCGCTGCGTGAAGTCCAAGTAGTTAACTACACAGAAAGAAATTAAGATGCAAATATTTTAGATTTAAATTATGATTCTTATTATATTTGTTTTATATTTTTACAATAAAATGTGTATATTCAGAGAGTGATATATGCATCACAAAAGTGAATAAATCCCATCCCATTTTTCCTGTGCATATAAGCACAATGCCATAGTAAAATTGATTTGCAGCCGATGTTCGCTAAGTTCAAGCGAACGCCATAAACATGGTATTTTTATAGATTTTCCGCATAATTAATGGCTCCAAAACTATATTCTTGCTGTTCCCCACAGCTTTCTTGGACTGAAATTCGTTGCTTGGTTATTTTCATATAATTTTATTATTAGATATCACTAGCCGAAAAATCTGTCTCGACACTTGACTGATTCTCGAATTCTGGCCTTTCCCAACATTTCATTTCGCGCATTTTGCAATCTGGCATCTTGACAAGTGGCGGCCCTCGAAAAAGCGGTTCGAAATCAACTCGGAATACCCTGTAAATTGGCTGCCACATGTCTGGCCCCAAAAAATTAACGCACGCCAGAGAGAGATCCGCCGATCTGCCAGATCTCTCTACTATATACTTATTTTCTGCTCTCTCTTTCGCGGGGATGCTGAAAAAGCGAAAATTTTCTGCGGTCGTTCTTTCAGTTGACGTCGCGTTGATAAGCGGGCAAGAACTTTCGCAATAAAATTTGAAAAAGATTTCGAACGCGTAATCGAAAGAAAGAATTCCCAAAACAAAATTTCTATATAGTAAATTGAAGATAACGTGAAACCGTGCAAATCAAAACAAATTTTTCGTCGCACGTTGCCCCGAGGCGAATAGACGAAAACATATATTGAAACCATGATCTAGAGGCGTGATTTTTGTGGGTTTGTTCGATTTTCGAGGGGCACGTGAGGCTGCAGATTTTGTCCCCTTAGCTGATAACATTGATCCTCGATTTCGGAGTCTGGAAATGTCTTGAATGGTTTGGTGAGGTCTGGATTCTTCTTCTCATCGTCGTGTCGATCAGTCTAGATCTTTACCTGCGTCGGGAAAGTGCTGTTATTGAATGGCGATCCTCTTTTTTTGAAAAGATTCAAGTGTGGAGGTATTCATTCATTAAAAATGTTTCCCATTGCATAATTGATTTGAACAGAAATTAAATTGCAAACTGTCCGAGTGACCCTAATTTAGGCGGCCGTTTCGCTTTAAAAAGAGTTAATTGATGGCGGAAAAAAATCATACAGATAACTTAGTGCAAAGAGAACGCAAAAGATGCAGACATATGCCAGCTGTAACGTATCATTTGGATATCGAAAGAAATATGGAAGGCTTTCTTTGTTTCTCCTGAGGTTCAGCGAACTGCATTTTTTTTGTGGCGACAAACAAAATATTCAAAAAATTTCCTCACATGTGTGTGGCAGAGTTTTTCTTGGCATGGCAACAGCCACAAGAAAACGTTTAAACTTTTTCCTATTTTTTTCACATATTTCTCAGACACTTTTGCTGCTTCCTCTCCTTTCCCGAGTTTATTTTCAAATTTGAAATTGTATGCCACAACAAAAATGTAAGCAATTGTCATGTGTTTGCCGTTTTCGCCATTCAGGGGTTGTAAAATATTGCAGTGTTAGTTTATGTTTATTTTTGCCTGTTGCTGCTGGACAGGAATGTGTCCAAAAGATATTCTCCGACTTACATTGAGATATTTTCCTTAGGGCGAAGAAATGTCCTCAAACATTCCAAATCAATTTAAAATGCACTTAGATATTTTCTGTGAGCATTAAAGGTAGATAAATGGTCTTTGTGTATAAAATGTAGCTTATTTGATTAGCGTGTATAGAATAGTTTCAAAAATCAAATCAGTGAATTTAACTGTATATATCTTTATTTGTAATTTAAAATATTTTTGTGAAAGTTTATTTTCTAATAGTTTCCTTAGTGTATTTGCTTGAGTTAAGAATGTAAACAAATTATTTCTGGAGAAAAAGGAACCTTGCCTTGGGCTATTTTAATCTGGAGTAGAGAGGCTAAGAAATGTCCTCAAACATTCCAAATCATACAATTTTATCTTTAACAGAAATTTGAAATATTTATGCAGCCATCTGGATTTTTGTTTATTTTTTCTTTAATGAATTTCCGTGAGTTTAGCCTGTTCAACTATTTTGCATGCCATGCAGGCTCCCATTCCCTTCTTCTTTTTGCCACAAAGATTTAAGACTCGCCTTTGTTTTGGTTTCGTTGCTGTTTTCATTATGCATATCTGCTTTGTCAGGACTTTTGGAAGTTGACCTAACTAGCACACAAATGCCGACTTACTTTATCATCCTACAACCACATATTGCAGCTGCCTTTCTTCCCGGGTTTTCCACTTCTTATCTCTGGGTTTTGGCACATTTTGACAGCAACTTCCGTTTTTGTCTTGACATTTCTTCTTGCCTTTGCAAAAATCTTCTTTTTCTCTGTTTTTGTCCTCTCTAATTTGCTGTTGCTTTGTTGTGGTTACTCAAACAATTATTTTTGCATTTTTAGTTGTAGTTCTCCAAAGTGGAGAGCAAGTGCCTGCATTTTTGCTTTACCCATTTATTCAACAAACTCAAATTGATTTTTCCGCCATTGATTCATTGGAAGCATTTGTGTAGATGCATTTTTTTTCCATTCATTTTCATTGCTTTAATTACTGGGAAAGTTATTTATAAACCTTGATTTATTGGAAACTTTTCCTCATTTCGCTGTTGCCCCTTTTCTGATTTGCCATTTGTTACTTCTCATTAATTGTCTTTTGTTTGCTTTTGTTTTTATACTTTTGTTATTTTTTGCACAGCATTTATTTTTGGCCCGGTTTTTCATTAATTTTCGCATCTCATTATACAACACAAACACACACACACCCCGAACAAAAGTGTGATTTTCCCCTTCGATTTTTCATCGATTTCAATTGCGTTTGTTTACGCCTCTTCCACTCTCAACGTGCGACCTTCGGAATTTGGCTTGAATTTTCATCAAGTTTATTTACTTGAACCGAAGCAGAAATCACACATACGCCGCATTGGCCTTCGCGAGCTGCTCTCGCTCATCTTCCCCCAAACTGACCTCCGCCCCGGGTTTGCATTAAGTATTTAAGCATGCTGCTCTTAATTAAAAGCGCACGCATCTCTAATTGGCATTAAGCATACGCCAGGGTGCACTTGACCAGGTCCAACAGGCTGGCCAACTTCGAGTCCTGTGGTCGGTCAACTGGTAACTGGCAGCAGCCGAAATCCTGGCTTTGTTATCATGTCTGTGGCAGGCTGCCCTTACAGCGAAATAATATGATGTTTGCTGGGGAAAATCCATAAGAGAATTTCCATATTGCCGCTTGAATAATAGTATTTGTTGGCTATCAAATTATTCTCTCGAATTTCCTAGTTGATTTCTAAACATACACAAATTGGTTAACTAATATTAATTTGTAATTAATTCATACGAATAATATATCTTAGGTATATTGAGTTTACTGGAGTATTTTTATATTCCTCATAAAATATTTTTAAACATGGTTTAAATATTTGAGCCCTGGGCAACGTGTTTGAATTTATATTTTTATTACAAACATAATTACTAAATAACGATTTAATTACAACTCAATTAGTTATGGTTAAAATATTAAAACATAATTTACTAAATACAAATTTAATTACAACTCAATCAGCAATCACAAAATGTGTTTCTCAAAACATTAAAAAAACGCTAGAGAAGTGAAAACCAAAAATGTGTCTTAGTTTGCGAAAGCTTTGTCAAGCCTGTCGAGGTTGGTATAAGTAAAAAAAAAAGTAGTCTGCATTAAAACTATAATAAACTAAAAATATGTAAAATAGCTTAGGAATTTCCTTTATCCACGCCTTAGGTAATTGGCAAACTCACAAAACTTCTAAGACATTCCACTGCCAATTTGGAAAATGTCTACACGTTTAACAAAACTAAAAAAAATGTCGCCTGTCTGCTCCATCTCCCCAGTAAAGATCCCCAAAGGTCCAATTTAGAGATTTGTGTATATATACGGAGGCGTCTATATTTATGCCTTCCGTTGACAGCTTTAGCATCTGCACCTACACACGAAAATAGTCTGCGAAGTCCCAAAAAATATATGTATCTTGCGATTAGCTCTCTGATCCATTAAGACATTCGTGTTCCCCACAAAATTTGTGTATAAATAAATAAATTAGAAAAATGGAAATAATGGCTTGGACAATTAATTAAACAATTCATTGAAAGTGTCAAAATATTTTGTGGTGAACTTGTGACTCACAAATGATACCAGGATATTAAAGACTACAATTTTTTCATTTTATTTAAATATGGAAAGTATCAACCAATACTCTGTCCTTTTGACATTTTTCGAAAGTAGATAAAACCAAAATTATATACACAAAACTGCCTGACAAACAATACGAATAAATTATGCCTGATAGAAATGAAGAGCTGGAGGATAAAAGGAGGAACAACAGTCATGCTAGTCTGCTCATGACCGCATCGTCTACTCATGTTCGGCATAATGAAAGTCACACCAGTTTGAATCGTAGTGCTCATAATCTGAGTTATCCCAAGAACAAGGACGAAAATGATCAAGCTTACATGACCAATAGCTCCCTGCTGTCGAATGATTTTGTGCTAATGTTGGATTGTTCACCCACTATTGAAGAGACTTTCTGCGAAGAATCAGACGAATTCAGGATAGCTTGGCTGTGGCTCAACAAATTAACCACTATGCATTGCAATAATCTCTCTGATCTGCGCATGCGTAACGCTTACATGAGTCACTTTATTGTCTGTCTAAACCAAAGGCGTTTGACGGGGATTTTTCAGGAGCCTCCGCCTGCGGAGTTGATTTGGGTTAACTTTTCGGAGAATCAAGCTCACCAGTCAATGGGTATGGCCAAACCTTTAGATTGTTGTAATGATCGAAATCAATCTCATCGAGCTGCGCCGGCTTCCGCTTCATCATGTACCTGTACCGAATATCGCACATCGGAGTTTTGGGATTCCTATTCAAATAGTGGTCGTCCTTCGGGTGGAACTGCCACATCATCACCCAAATCGCCGATTATCAAAAGGCGTCAACTTCTCCGATCCGTGCTCACAACCAGTGACGAGGAAATACATCAGATATACCGCAACAACAAGGCCAACTTTCACTTGAACCGCTCCTCCACCTGTGCCCAGTTGTCCACCAGTCGTTCCCAATCCTCGCCAGCTAAATTTGCGCCCAGAAAGAAAGTTCCGAATGCCTTCCGGGGTTCGGATAGCCGTAAGTTCCCCGAAGATGCCCGACACCGAATGGTCATTCTGATGGAACTTATCAGGAAAGAATTACGCGGCGAACCGGATCTAGAACAAAAGGACATTTTGGAGGCGGAACTGAAGCGATACCGGGAGTTTTTCGAACAGCATATGCAGGACAACTCCGATTTTGAGTCACATCTGGGTGGGGATTCCAACTCGGAGCGCACTCGCCTGCTTCTCAATATGCAAACAGATCTGATCAGGATGCTGAAAGAGGGCGTGGCGTGATCAAAACCAATTTTAATAATCAAAAAAAGTGTATTTTAAGTATTTTTAGAGGTGTGACAAGAATAATTCAGTAATAAAACATTTTATTTTTTGGGAAATTAAGTTGACATAGAAGATTAAAAGTTTTGGGAGATTTACTGCTTGAAGTCCTACAAATAAATAAACCAATAACTTTTGTATAAATCCAAAGGCACATTAAAATATGTAAAAAAGAAATGTGTTTAAAACTTGCTTTGTCAATGTTATTTTTATGAAATATTAGCTGATTGTTATTCAAAATTTAAATATACAATTATTATTTATTAATATTTAATTATATATTTTCTCCCTTTCCAGGTCGCAAATCTGTGGACGAAACTTCGGGATCGAACAACTCCAACCAGCAGCAGCAACAACATTCCATTCCGGGCTCCGCCACCGGATCTCCCCAGCGAGTGGCCAACAAGCGCAGCAGCATCACGGTGAACATGCCAGCCGCCGGACTTGGCCAGCGCCCGCCGAGCATCATATCGACGACCAGCCAGGATGAGGGTGGCTTCAATGAGTCCACGCCCGAGCTGAAGGCCAAACTGCAGCCATCCTACGACCTGCAAACGGAGGAGCAACCGCACAGCCTGAACTACGTGGATGTGGGCTATCGCCTGAATCCCGATGGCAGCGAAAGTCGCGAGGTCTACGGATCAGAGGCTGAACTCTACGACACGGCCAAGGTGACCGATATGCAGCGCAAGTTCCATGGAGCCAATGGTTTTGCCCAGGAATCGAGCACTGTGTATGCCATTATCAAGCCGGATGTGCAGGAATCCCAGCCTGTGGCTCCCTCGCGAGCGGTTCACCTCCAGTCGCCCACTTCCTCGAGCGTAGAGGGATCCCCTCTTCATCGTGGAGTCTATAACTCCCCTCCAGTGGGAGTGGTTTCACCCATAAGGCGGCGCAACAGCAGCAATCAGGATCAGAGCGTGGGTGGAGGAGGTAGTGCCAAGTCCACGCCACCCTGCTCCCCCGCCCGCTCGGCCTTGGTCAAGGGCATCGCCCCCATTGCCTCCATCGATGCCCACGAAGAGGAGGAACTGGATCTCGAGGAGGAGGACGAGCACCTGGCCGTCGAGTATGTGGAGGTGTTGGAACTGCAGCAGGACGACGACGAGGAAGAGGAGGCTCCTGTCCTGCCGGAACGTAGAGCTCCCGTCCAAAGTTCCCTGGAACTGCAGGATTTGGAATATGCGGATACCAGTGCTGGCGAGGATGAGGAGGACATCATCAACCACTTAAAGGGCGACGATATACTGGATGTGGAGCTAATCGACGATGTCGTCGATGAAGTGATCAAGGTTCATGTGAACCACAGTGTGGCCATTGCTCCTCCAATTCAAACTGCTGCTCCGCCTGCAGCGATTCCACGGGAGGACAGCCTGCCGGATGACATGACCGCCGCCGAAGCCGAACGACTGTTGAGCTCTAGGTAAGTCACTTAAAAAGCTATGGCTTTATGATTTACTAAATTTTATTATTTGTACTTTAAGCATGTGTCTTGTTTTTGTAATCATACGTCTTTTGTAGTTTAAAACCATTTCTATTAAATATTTTGCGCTTTTATTTACCATAAAGCATTTTAGTTCATATAGAAGTATACTTCTTCTATTTATTGCATTGTCGAATATAATCATTTCATTAGTAGTATGTCATAAATGAAACAGTATGCCGTGAATTTGTACCACTATTGTTTGTTTATAAATTTTCTAGTCTTACTTTATTATTTCCATAATGTATTCAACACATTTAATATTGTTCTCCACCCTTCATCTAAATTCAATTGAATTACATCAGAATGAGGACCTTGGAACTTTAATCAGCCTTAAACTCACATAAAGTAGCAACCTTAATCCTTCTTGTTTATATTAGTTTGCCATCTCATTAGCATTTTCTGTATAACTTCTAGCCAATAATTAATCTGAAAATCAAGGTATCTCAGACCATATGCACCTTCCCTCCGTTTTCTTTGCCCAGGATGAACTTCATTCACTCGCTCACATATTGGCCAAATATTTACATTCCACCCACATTCTCAGACTCTGGATTCTGTGGACTTTTCCAAGCTGCTATTCATCATCAGCTTTGCCACCTTTCAGCGCCAGCCTTTTGTTGTAATTGTAAGCTAATCTGTCGCTTGTCAGCAGCTGATGCACTCGGCATCCGCAGTCAGTTCCGCCCGGAAGTGTTGACTCCGGCGGAGTTGGATTCCATGTGAATACTTCCCTTTGTGCTGCTCAGTAGATGGTCTAAGTTGCTGCCACTTTAAACTGCCAAACTTGTTTAACTTTTTCAAACTCTGATCCCTTTAACACTGGACTTTAAGCCATCAGTTTGTTCAATGAGAGTGAGTTAGTCAGCCAGTGGAATTCACCTGGTTTGGATGTCTTCTGACCCATGCTCATAGTATATATGACAATGTATTAAACTTAATTTTAGAACTTTTAATCTTGATTAAAGTCCTAAGTAAAATTAAAAAACTAAACAAATAAAGTTGGCATGACTTTTCTTCGAAAAAAAAACATTTAAAAAAAAAACTAACTCCATTTCTTATTTACCCCCGTAATGAGAAAATTGTAGATGGTTTTTCTAATTTTTGAAAACTTGTATAGAGGATAATAAATTCATCACTGACAGCCATTTACAGGTGAGCTCAATAGGTGTATGTGAGTTCGAGGAGGGCGGTTAAAGGTTTTTGTGGGGCGCTTTAAGTATCTAGATTTTCGCAGTCATTTATTCTTGGCCTGGCTTTCTGCGAGCGATTCGTGGCTGCTCCCAGAATTGACTTGCCATTGATTTATTGTGCTCAGGCAAGGGAACCTCCTGCTATGCCACGTATTAAAATGCAATTTTCAAACGATTCCCCAGCCAGTTGTTACCCGTTTCAATCGCTATAGTTTTTGTACTTGCCATTTTGCGCTTATTTGCGTTCGTTCTTCGTTGCTTTTGTTTCGGGGCAATTTATTATGAGCCATTACCAGGAATTATGTAGCCCTGCCTTGGCGCTTTTTGCCCGTCTCTCCTCATCCTGAAACCTTCCGCGTTTCGCACGCAAATAACCAATTTCGTTTTAGCCGCGGAAAAAATTACACTTAACCGTAGTTTCTTTGGCAATATGTGTGCTGCGCTGCATACGTCAATTAGTCGAGCGTTTTTTGGCCATTTATTTATGAACGTTTTCCGTGCGACTACGACCAGGCCCGCTCAACTTGGAGTGGAAATCCTGGGGAGAACCCGATGTCGATTTTCCACTCGTTTTTCTCTCGCTCTCGTCGACTGCCAACCTGCATTTTCCACTCATTTCCCGCTCCTGCGTGTCCTGTGCAGTTTTGTCCTGCATTTGCGGAGCCACTCGAATCACATGCCCGCCGCTCGTTCATCCAGTCGCATGGCTGGAAATTCGTAACGCAGTCGAATAACGAAAAAATAGAAAAGCGGAACAGAAAAGGAAATTCCGCGCGCGAAACGAAATCCGTTTTGGCTGGCAAAATTAAAGTGGCAAAAGCGGAAAAACGCACGAAATGTGAGGCAATCTCTTCGAACATCGTTTTAATTAACATTTTCGTGCCCGAGCGCAGGAAATAAGTTTTAATTAAAGTTTAAGTCGGAATTGGAGAAACTGTGAAACAGTGTCAACAGTGTGCGGTCGTCGTTTTTGGTAGGTGAAAAATATTATTATCAATATTTAATGTTTGCCATCGTTGGCAATTTTTATTTTGCCACCCTGCCTGCTGATGACATTTAACTGCCATGATAGCATGGTGATGATGATGAACGGCTCCCATTTCGGGGACATATCCTGTTCCTTATGGCTGGGCATTATCAGTGCCTTGTTGGCTTTTAATTAGACAACTGTCGTGTCGTAGAATCGCACACACGAGTCTCGTTAGTGAGTAGTTTCAGTACGGGCCTGTCAATAATCGCACTTACAGCCTGGTTTCCATGGCCATTTCTCCGTTTCCCATTTTCTCAAACTCTCCATTATCCCATTTCTCCAGTTTTTCCTTCGCATGCAGTAATGGCAATTGGCTATGCATTTCCTGATAATGATTTGTTTGCCGATAGGTCGGTTTTGTGGTTTGACATGCTCCTATATTTCAACGATATTGCTTTCGGGGCTTTTGCGGTCGAACTGTCAAATACATTGAGTACTCGAAGTCAATTAGGTTAATCACTGTATGTGAAAATCCGCTTTAAAGGTTTTCTTTGTATCGTTAGATCATGTTTCCTTGCTTTGGAGTAACGTAAAAATATATGTTATAGCAATAGGTAATTCTAAAACAAGTAACAATTAATAACCTAATTTTTGCAAAGCTAAAAACTTCAATAGGTAATATATGAAACACGTTTTTCGTTTTGGTTTGCTATAACATTTTAAATAATATACTTTTATAGGCATGAGATGTTAGCAACACTTTATAATTTATAACACTTAATATTTAATAAATTGATTTATTAAGAACAGTTTGCTATCTGTTTAATATATGCGTTTGCCCCCATAAACATATAAACACAAATATGTTCCGACAAAGCAATTTGTTTCATTAGGTTTCATAATTAATGTTTATTGATCAATTATGTGTTTGACCGATAGACAAACCACATTTAATTATTTTTAATTTAATTTGATAGAGCTTTTACAATCAGTTGAAAATTTGTATTTTTACCTTTTGTAATTTATTAACCAATAAGTCAAAGTTATAATTAATCCCATTTGTTTAAAGTGACCGCCTTTAGACAACTTCACTTACATTAACCCATTTTCGCGATTCAACATTTTAATGAGTTTTATGCTGATTATGCAGCTTGCCTCTTTGGCTATGCATTCCATTTAGTTTATTCAAATGAAATTTGTGTTAAGTGTAATTTAAGCGCAATCACAAAAACCAACAAACAGGGGATCCCCGATGTTATCCCATCTCCTTCATCATCGTCACATCCTGGCAGACATCGCCAAAGGCATCAACAGGGCGACAAGTGCTAATCGCTCATTTGGCATTCAATATGCTGGCTTTTCCCCCTCGCCTTCCTTGCTTTTTTGGTAGCCAAAAGGAAAATGGAGGGGCGGATGGGAAGTGGGGAAAATGCATTTCAGTCAAGTTTGCTTTTAGTCTTCGCTGCGCTTTTAAGCTTATTTAAATTGCGGTGGCGACTTAAGCCACAGGGGGTGTGGTTGGGTTAAGGGGTGCTGCCGCAATGGTGTGGCTGGGAAATGAATAGAAGTGGGCCATAAGTGCATTGTGCAAGTGGTTTCTGTGCTTAGCCAAATTGTACAAGTGTCTCTTTTTTCATTCAAGTGTCGGCAGCAGGAAATGAGTTAATGTGTGATTGGATAAGTTAAGCATTTGTCATGGTAATATAATGAAGTAATGGGGAACGAATTTGGTAAATAACTTTGGTAGATACCAGAAATTCAAGCCCCTAAATGACTTTTCTGGATACCGAAAGCACATTTGACCCCTCAAGGAAAAGGGCAATAAACTCGAAGTTTCTTTCTCAAATTGTAAAAGCATCATTTTCCGCACAATTCCCCCTTTTAAAGAAACAAATGCAAAATGTTCCCCCATTATAGGAACCCCACTTTCGAGAGCCCTTTATTAAAAGTTAAATTTCCCCATGATTATCGCCCCCTGGTACAATTAACATAACTTCGGGCCTTAAAGTATGATTTTATCAGTCGCTCTCGAACTTTCACATGGACTGAAAATAAATTGCATAATTTAAGCCTGCAAAAAAGAAACAATTTGCCTGCGAGCGGCTAAAGTGCAAGTTGGTCAACTAATTGAAAAACTTCACGCCCCCTGGGAATGCTTTCGAAATGCAAAATGCAAAATTGAAATTCATTTGCAGCCCAGTTGGCAAGGGCAGAAAAAGGAGGCCCAGAGAAATCACACATACGCAGCGTTGTCGCAAGTGGCAATTGCTTAACTCTCTGATCTCGCCTTTTTGGCATTCAACTCTCCCATGCCCGCTTCAAACTAGCCCGCAATTTACATAAATTGCAGCAGCGACAGCCGTTACGGCCATGTGTTGATGATGTCCTTGTCGTCCTTGGCCAAAAGTCGTGGCCAGAGGAAGAAGTAAGAACCAGCTGCAAGTCCAACTCTCATTTATCTTTCAGCCAAATGTTTGGGGCTCAACAGGAGCAACTCTTTTGCGCCTTCCTCTTCCTTATTTCTTTTTCTGCCCTTTTTTTTTTTTTGGCAGCCTGCCCAGCTGAGCCCACTGTCCCGAAAACGTTTGTCCTTGACACGAGGACTGCTCCCCGAACCATTTCGCTATCCTTTTTCCGAAGGAGAATTGGGCCACATTTTCGGGCAATTTGCTGGTCAATTGTGGACCGTTTTCGGCATTCGCCTGTGTAATTGCGAAGTACTTTCAACTGCACTTTGGAAGTTGGCATTGCTGCAGTTAAGAAATAGTTCAGAAACG